CACACCATAGGGTTCACATGAATGTTCATACCTTGATATAGGCACGAAGATGAACGATTGTTCATACACATATTAATTAATACAAAATTTTGACCAATTTATTCTTTGAACAATTGTTCATACACATATTAATTAATATATTAATTAAATTATTGTTTATTTAATGTCATTTAATAATAACCGTTAGATGAGAAAATGAACGATTAAGATGGGTTAGCATAGTTTGCACAAAATATTGGGTTAGTATTTGAACCAGCCCCTGTATATATGTTTGAAGCAGCCTTTGATCATATAAAACAACAGAAGATCAGCATGGGCTGCTTACTATTATATATTTGTCAAGAACTCATCGGCTCTTCTGGATCAACAATGGAGCAATTTTCCATCTTCCTCCTTTGCTTTATCACTTTCTCTTTTCATACATTACTCACTACCATGGCAGTGGACACCATATTCATAAATCAAACCATTAGAGACGGTGAAACCATTGTTTCAGCACGACAATCCTTCGAGCTCGGGTTTTTCAGCCCCGGAAACACCTCAGAAAATCGATATTTAGGCATTTGGTACAAACGGCTCGCCACAGGCACCGTTGTCTGGGTTGCCAATAGAGAAACTCCCATCAGAAACAAAACCGGCGAGCTAACTCTCCATCCCGACGGAGTTTTGGAGCTCCGTGACACCGCCACCGACATAATCGTTTGGTCGACAAACACAAAGGGAAGCGCTCAAAACCTGGTGGCGCGATTATTAGATTCTGGGAATCTTGTGGTCATCGACAATGACGATGACAACCAACTGGAGAATTACGTCTGGCAAAGTTTTGATCATCCCGGAGATACAATACTACCGGGAATGAAGTTTGGATGGAATTTCGTAAGGGGTATAGTGACAAACTTTACATCGTGGAAGAACGCAGATGATCCTTCGAAAGGCCCTTTCATGGCTTATATGAATCTCAACGGACTCCCGCAATTATATCAAAACAATGGAGATTCAATCCAAAATAGACTTGGATCATGGAATGGTCATGCGTTTACTGCCCGACCAGGGGTGACTCCCCCTTCAATTTACACGATCAAATATGTTTCAAATGAACGAGAGATTTACACCAAATTCGATTTTACTAACGACTCGGTTCTTAGTAGGTTGACTGTAACATCATCAGGCATTACAGGTCGGTTCACTTGGGTCAACCGAACACAAGGATGGTTTCTTTTTGCGCCATTCAACGCAGATACCTGTGAACGATATGCCTTGTGTGGCGTTTACGGAACTTGTGACAGCACAAAATCAACAACTTGTGGATGCCTGGAAGGGTTCGAACCAAAAAGTCAAACCCAATGGGATATTTCTGATTGGACGAGCGGTTGTCAAAGGGAAGTGGCGTTGGATTGCGGTGTTAGGGAAGGATTTCGAAAGTATCAATTCATGAAATTACCAGACACCAGGCGGTCATGGTACGATACTAACATGACCCTCGAGCAATGCAACACCAAGTGTAGAAACGAGTGTAACTGTACAGCTTATGCAACTTTGAACGTTGAATATGGCACAGGGTGTTTGTTATGGTACGACGAATTGATCGATATGAAAGCGATTCCGAGAGATGGACAAGACATATATATACGAATGGCTGCTTCAGAATTAGGTAATGTTGAATCTTCCGTTCAAACGAGAACACAGACCAAAGAAGAAAACAAGAGAAAGGCCAAATGAGCTATGATTCTACACTTAGAATCACGTCCAAAATCACATGTGATTCTACACGACTTTGGGCCGAGTCAGCATGCATACCCTTGAATTTGACTGTGTTCCGTAATCGCGTGTGGTTTCGGTACAAAATCATATGTGATGTGATTTGACCATTCTCGTGTTTTCTTAATTTTGGAACTAAGGTCATTCTAACTGTGCAATTCCTAATTCTTTAATCACAGAGAAAGATGAAAGGGCTTCCAGAATCCAAAGAAAGTTGGTCAGCATCATCGTCCCTGTCCTTGTAGGTTTAGTCATTCTACTTGGCCTGTGCTATTTATTCATCAGAAAGAGGAAGTTGAAGCAACAAGGTAATGCTTTTAATCTATAATGTCGTTTTAAATGTTAGAATATGTTGAACTCCTTTAAATTCTTTTTAAAAGAGCTTTTTACAGAGAGAAGGTAGGTTTATATATATATATATATATATAGTCTGTTCATTCGAGAAGCGCAACTCATGGCTGGGTAAGAGATTAAAAGTGATCAAGGACCTATATCCCTTCTTACGCTTCTCAACTTAACTCTCTTTCTCACTCGATCCTTCGCCTATAGCTTTAATGGTCTATATGTAGGCACTATAGGACTCCAACACGCCCCCTCAAAGAAAGGTTAGATTGGAGGCCCTATTAGAAATCAAGGGGTTTTTTTATCATAAAAGACAAGACAACTCACTTGGATCGCGTATAGCTCACTTTCCAAATACACTAATGCGACCTTATATGCTTTGGATATCAGAATCGAGTATTAGGATAATCCAGTGAAATTGATATACACCCAGATTCAACGTTTTTACACATTTATATGAGAGATCTACTATTACGGGTTAGTTAGGTGGTTTTGATGACTGTACAACACTTGCAAACTCTGGATAAGATCAAACACGGACAGAAGGTAATCAGAATCAGAAGCCTTGGAAGTGAAGTCAAAGTTTCTAAACATGAGCTCAGAGATTCTGAACATGAAGTCAGAAGCTTCTGAGTATAGTCTTCACAGAAGTTCTGAACTGAGTTAGGAAGGCATTTTGCCTTCTGAAATGCACTTAGAATATTCAAAAACTCAATTTTCGCAAGCACCATAGGACCCTGAAGGAGGCGCAACCACCTCGACCCCACTTTAAGAAGATCTAAGATGATAGGGACAACATTTGTTAATGTGCACTCCGCACCTCCTGATTCACGTTATGTTTGCCTTTTCACCTGGTCGATTTCTTTTACATCACAATTACACCAAAATTGTTTGATGATACTAAAAATCACCAACGACCCCTAAAATGGAGGCACATAAAAGAGTTTGATAAGTCCCTAGATGTGGTAGATTCCATATCTGATACATTAATGTGATAGATACCGATTATGATACCATGTTAAAATATCTGGAACTCCTATTAATGTATACTATAGTATAAATCGTTTAGATAAAAGTCTTAAAAACAACTAATGAAACATTATGTACTGCCAGGTAATGTATAATCCCTTAAATGTCATGTTTACAAGTGTTTTATTGTATACGTATAACTTGTTAAAACTTTTTAAACTCGATAGAACCAACTGATGAACACGTTCAAATACATGACTATTGAGATCTACTAATACGACATTAGGTCGTGCTTTTGTAGAGAGGCTTCCTCCAATTGCTCATAAAGATGTTCAAGACCTACCATTGTTCAGTTTGTCGACGTTGGTTGTGGCAACCAACAACTTCTCATTCAAAAACAAACTAGGTCAAGGTGGTTTTGGACCGGTTTACAAGGTACATTTAAATCCAGAAACTAGATTTGGTGTTTATTCATATCGATTTGATTAGAATTTTCTTAAAAGATAACATACGTGTGAAGGGAATACTCAAGGACGGACAAGAGGTTGCAGTGAAGCGGCTCTCTGAGAGTTCCTCACAAGGAGTTGAGGAGTTCAAGAACGAAGTTATCTTCATTTCCAGGCTTCAGCATCGAAATCTTGTCAAGATTCTTGGATATTGTTTTGAAGGTCGAGAAAAGATGTTGATCTACGAGTATATGCCTAACAAAGGCCTCGACTTATTTCTATTTAGTAAGTTTAACCTCCTACAATGTATAAATCCAGAACTCATTTCCATCATTCATCGCACTTTACTTATGAATTGATTATTTTTTGCAGATAAAAACAAAAGTAAAACACTAGACTGGTTACAACGGTGCCATATCATCAATGGGATCGCACGGGGTCTACTTTATCTTCATGAAGATTCTCGACTTCGAATCATCCATAGAGACCTCAAGGCCGCCAACATTTTGCTTGATTATGATATGAACCCTAAGATATCAGATTTTGGCCTTGCAAGAAGTTTCGGAGGAAATGAGACCACAACAAACACTAATAGAGTGGTTGGGACATAGTAAGAAGTTTCAAATTAAATTTTCTTTTATAATAAATAACATGTATGATCATATGTTCATTTTTTTTCCATATAACGATACTAATAAAGGATAATAATCTAGTTGTTAACGCTGCCAACACTTTGATGCAGTGGATATATGTCTCCAGAGTATGCAGGGAATGGGATTTTCTCAGTAAAATCAGACGTATTCAGCTTCGGTGTTCTGATGTTAGAGATCGTGAGTGGAATCCAAAATAGATGCAACCTTCTTGGACATGTAAGATGAGTCATTAAATTTATAGTGTAACAACTCGCTCCACATGGATAGAAAATGGGATTTTTGAACTCCTTATAAGCTTCAAGTTGTGGGACATGGTTTTATGTTGGGTTCAAAAGTTATTGGGTCAGCCTGGTGTTACAATTAGTGTTCAATTAGTTGTATTTTAGTTTTGACAATCTTAACTAATCGTTTTTTAGGCATGGAGACTACATAATGAAGGGAAGGCTTTGGAATTGGTTGATTCATCTTTGATCGAGTCAGATGATACCTCCAAAATGTTGCGATCAATCCAAGTAGGCTTACTATGTGTTCAAAACAACCTAGAAGATAGACCAAACATGTCTACAGTGGTTATGATGTTGAGTAGTGAGGGTCAATTACCAGAACCAAAGCATCCTGGTTTCTATAGAGAAGTTGGTTATGAGATTGAGAATTCAAGTGACATACAAACACAAAACTCATACAACAACGTTACAATCACACATTTGATAGCTAGATAAGTAATTTCTTTTATAACATTTGCCAAGTTACTTTAAAACAAATGGCTAAATGCAAGATAGGTATGTGGAAAATATAAATAGATTCATTTTTTATATTTCTTAACTAATAGCAAAAAAAATCACACAGCTCTCTCTCTCTCTCTCTCTCTCAACACGGCTCTCTCTGACAAAGGACCAATGACCAGCAGTATACGGTTATCAGTAGATCCCAACTTCCTTAAAGGTCTAAAGGTTGAAGATTCACAAAGGTGAGAAATGTGCGTGTGAGTTTTGTCGTATCTAAATATTATATACTTCAAAAAATCACAGTTCTCCCTCATACACATTTACAACCGGCTCTTCTTCAGGTCTTCTGTTTATGATTCCGGTTGAGAGTATGATTTAGCTCTCAATATTATTTTGCTGTACTTTTGTGTTATAATGTTGTAAATATTTCGAGTTTGTAAAATAGTTCATTATAAACCAGGTTTATTTATGGTTTGATTTATCATTGAATATTGTGAAATCTTGGCATGATATAAGAGCTTTGGATCTGCGATGGGTTTTTCGTTGTTTGATCTGGTTCATAAGGTTAAGGTTTCAATTTCTAATCATCGTATTCCAGAATGATGTCTAAGTGTAAGGTTTTTCCAGCCCTAAATCTCGAGTCACCTAGTATCTTGTTCTTTCTTGGCTCATTGAGTGTTAATTTTCTGTCTTAACCATGCTCTATTCATGTTGTGATTGTGGTATATCTAGTATTCTCTATTCTCCATATTTTAGTACATTGTTGTTCTTTAATTTCTCATTGATCTTATTAAGGTGTGGTTCATTGTTGTTCAAATTTCCAGATCTGTAAGTTCAATGATTAAAATAAAAAGAGAAAGAAAACGCAGTTGATCTATACACTCTTATTATTTGATTAGAGTCGTTGGATTAAATATGTTAGCCTCGTTAGCCTCCTACGCTTGCTATCATTTGAGTAGACATGTGCATTTAATTGCAGGTTCTATTTGGCAGTTCTAACAAAAAGATGTACAGAACTGACTTTATGCAAGAACATAAAATAGACTAGCATCTGGAGTACTCACCATTTTATGGCCAGCTGATCTATACACTCTTATTATTTGATTAGAGTCGCTGGATTAAATATGTTAGCCTCCTACGCTCGCTATCATTTGAGTAGACATGTGCATTTAATTGCAGGTTCTATTTGGCAATTCTAACAAAAAGATGTACAAAACTGACTTTATGCAAGAACATAAAATAGACTAGCATCTGGCGCACTCACCATTTTATGGCCAGCTGATGCAAGAATGCTACATTTTGGAATCACTGCAACCTGGAAGGGCGCAAAAGTAAATGGATAAGTTATGTAATTAAGGATGGGTTAGTCTATGTGTAGTTAAACAACGCTAAGATTGTTAAAACGCGTTCAAGAAAATATACCATAATACGGTGGATACACATCCTATCCAGCTTCCAATTGTACACGTAAACCACAAAAGGACGATCAGCATGCACCAATACACTTGCTACACTTACAAATATGCAAGACATTTTGGCTATTTAATTCTATCCAAAGCAAATGTAGCCAAAGAGAGAGCATATAAAGACACAGTTCCTGAATGATCAAAAAGGAAAAGGGAATCCAGTTTAATGTGAAGGACAAAACTGAAGTGTTCCTATCATGAACCATTAAGCAATGCTGATACTTGTGGGCATCATGCATCAATCTGTTACTTGTGAAGAACCAATTGGTTTGAGGTGTTTAGCAGAGAAGGTCCAATATTGTTATTGAATGAGCTTAGTAATCCTGTTACTAGTTATGACTGGTTTTTGTTCGTTAAATATCTCTCTTTTTATTTGTCTTGGGATAGGATTTAAGGAAGGGTGAGGCTTGGGTAGGTTTGTTGATGTTAAGGTTAAAGGGAAATTTGGGCGGAAAGATCGCATCTTTAGATTGAGTTTGCATTGGATGGGTAGACATTACGGGTGGTATGGTAGTGGGAGTGGGGGCGGTATAGTTTGAATAGATGGTAGGATCTTTGGGAGATGAGGCAGGCTTGGTGGGCGGAATGACTGAGGTAGGGAGCAGAGATTGGGTCGTGGTTACGGTGGGAGATAGGAGGGGGTCGTGGGTAGAGGTCATAGTCGAAAGACTGGGGGAGTATGTTGCAATGCAGAGGTGGGGGCGATGTAGGAGGCGAGTGTAAGGGGGAAGGATAGAGTTGAATATGGGATGGTTCACTGTTGAAAAGGAAATTGTATGGAGAAGATGTGGATTCAAGTGTTTGAGAGTAGGGAAAAGAGTTCTCATTGAAGGTGACGTGTTGAGAGGTGATAATTTTACTCGTAGGTAACTTGAGGAAAAGGTAACCACGATTATTAGGGGAGACCCTAAGCAGACACAACGAGTTGAGCAAGGGCTGAGTTTCTCCTATGCGATGGATGAGAGGTTAGGATAGCAAAGGCAACTAAAGAAATGAGTGTGACGGTAGGTGGGGATTCTGTTGTAAAATAATGTGGGTGGGAGTTTTGTTCCTTAAGAAACGAGATAGAATATTTTGTAGATAAGTTGCCATATAAAGGGCTTCAACCCAAGAGGAGGGGAAAGGGAAGCATGTAGAAGAAGAGTGTGGATGATATAATTTGGCCATATAAACACTCGACTCGTTACAACGATATCATGTTATCAATGGTAAAATTATCATTTTAACTATTGATATTACCTCCAGCGGATGATGATGTTCCTCACTGAGTTTTCGTTCAAGATTCTTGATCTGCTTGATTGCCCTATTCCATGTCAATGACATCTTTTTCATTTCCTCATCTTCTCACTCTGACTTAGGTTCCATGATTTGCTTCTTAGATACTTTAATCCATTTCCTCAATGCTAATTCTTGTTTTGAATGGAAAGTTCAAAATGAACAACCTAATTGCAGATAAGGAGTTGACTAACAATCAAGTACAACATGAGTAACCTAAGAAAAGAAATCCAAATATGTCACTGCAATCAATGAGAAAACCACCAAGACAACTGATGAGTTGTCTCTCAAACAAAATCAGAAGGACTTGAAGGAAGCTGCACAAGGTAGTGCCCCTTGACAGCAAAGGGAAGTGAGAAATTGGCTTCATACAGTTATGCTCTTGTTTATGTTCCTATTTGATCATTTGACAAGGTGTGGTTATACACAAAAGATCCTTGGTTTACCATATAGCCAATTTAGACAACGTATATATATAATATGATGTTGACATAAAATCAATATCTATACTTACCTCTTTTCCTCCAAGTCCCTTCATTGTTTGCCAGCAATCAATCATCATTGTCAGCAAAGTTGTCCAATTCTTTGTGCTCCTAAGCTCCCCAATATATTCACACACTTGTGACCTGAAGGGATCAAATATCAACATGAAAGGAATCTGTTTAGGTAAAAAAAAATAACTGAACAAGAGATATAAGTACCATTGCAGAACATGGAGAATTCCTAACATGACTATTCAAAGAATTAGATCATCGGTTAACTTTCAATATCTCCCATTTCTCCTTAATTGCCGCTTTTTGATTATTCCCTGGTTAGCAAACAACTTTAAACAAGCTCTTAAACTTTAGTTCACAAAATTGCATCAAGAACTAAACGATCAATCCTAATCAACAATCATACAAGCTCGGTCCGTTCAAACTAAATTATACATTCCATTAACATAAGCTTCACGCTCACAATCATCTTCATCAATTTATCACTACAATCATCAAAATCTATAAACAATTACTGGTTTAATATTCCAAATGGCTATTCGCTATTGCAATGAAATATCAAAGATCCTACGCATCACACAATCAAAATAACGAAATCACGAACAAGGAGAACGTATATATCAGAAAATGCATAAAAAGGATAAAGAAAACGTCTTTGCAATTGCCATTGAATCAAAAACCTAAATCGATCAAAGTTGCTGTAATGTATAAGCTTATCTAGCCATATAAATTAAAAGATAAAATTAGAAATCGAATACCATATGATTGGTATGCAGACACAAAAAAATAAAATCAATCGTCTTCTTCGCGTTTTCTTCTCTGCTCACCGTTGTTCGCTCTCTCCTCGCTGCTGTTCTTCGCCGGCGTTTCCTCCGATGTCCGGCCCACGTCTCTTGTACCGATTGGTGTCAATTTTGTATACGACAAACAAACCGACAACGTATCAACTAATTTAACACGTGTTCAAAATTGTCAAAATGTTAAATGAAATATAAAGTTATTTGATATCTTTTTATTTTTACTTAAAGACAACAAATTATCATTTTAATTTTTTATATAATTTAATATCAAATGAAATATAGTTGTTTGATAGATATCTGAATAAAATAATTATTTTACAAATATAATTACATATTTCATATTAATTCAAACAAGTATAACATTATTATTCAAAACAATATTAATCCAAACAAAGATAATATTACTCTTTTTCATTATATCTATCAAATAAAACAATGTACTAATATGATCAACACTTCCATTGCTTTCTTCAAGATAAGAAAGTTTTTTTTTTACCTAAGAATCATTTACTAAATGTTTATCCAATAAATGTTTATCGGGTAATCTTTCTTACCAGATAAACATGGCAGAGATCAAAAATCTTACCCGATAAGATTAATGATAAATATGGAAAATCTTACTTGATAAGTGAAGATGGCTACTCTTACCGGGTAAATTGTTGCATATTGCTACTCTTAGATGGAAAAAATCATACGAACTCTCTATGACTCACCGTCCCACCCATTCAAGGTGTGCGATTAATTGAAGCTATGAGAGGCGGTGCCTCAAGCTCGGTTTTTGGTCGGCTCGCCTCAAGGTGCACGCCTTGAGGCGTACGTCTGAACTGAGTTTCAAAACCATGGATGCAATTGTACCAAGGCCACTTGTTCGAATTAAGTAACTAATTTGTGACCTTGTGGATTGAATATCCACTTTTTCTTTGGCTTCTTTAGTCGTGAAGATAGGGCTTTTTTTTTATATATTATTTATAGAGTAAATCACATTTTTCATCCCTATAGTTTGTTAAAAGTTGCAATTTTCATCCTTGTAGTTCAAATATTACGATTTTCATCCATATAGTATGTAAATCATTGTTATTTTCAACCTTACGAATTATAATTTATTGTTGTTTCAATGTTGTGGTTTATAATTTTTTTACTATTTTGATCTCTTATACTTAAAAAGGTAAGCATTAGTTCAGGGACGAAAACATTAATAAACTACAAACCATAGAGACGAAAACCATAAAGATGAAAATCAAAAATTTTAACAAACTATAGGGATGAAAATGTAATTTACCCTTATTTCTAATCTGAAGTCTCTTACAAGGGTGGTGTCTGATTGGTTTGAATTTGGCTCCAAAGGTCAAAAGTACCATAAGGTCTTAGGTTCAAATCCAAGGAGGATTAAAAGTCCCCGTGTGGCCACGGAGGTTCAAATGCGGTAAATCCGAGCTATCTGCAAAACAGATGGTCGCCCTGAGATTAGTTGGTTCGCATAGCGGGTTGAATATCCAGGTTAATAAAAAAAAAGTTTGACACCTTGTAGAAAAATAATCACATGTTAAGAATATGGCTTTTCTGTTAAATTTGTAGTTGGTAGTAAAAAATATTGTATTTATAAAAATATTTTTTAAATATATAATATTTATATACGGTAAACTAAACTGACCCTAACCTTCAAAGAGGTGAAGTTATATATGGCCAATAACCATTTGATTATTTAGAAGAAAGTTTTTTATATATATAATATTTATACACGGTAAATAGAACAAATAAACTCATACACTCTTTTCACCTTTAGTGGGGTTTGAACTATTGACCTCCTAGGAGGCCAAGGACTCACATACCGCTAGTCCAAAAGCCCTTTGTTTAGAAGAATGTTACCAAAACAAAACTTAGCATCCCACTCTAAAACAGGATATGAGAGATGGATATACACAAACTTATCATCTGTATGAAGATTAGAACGGTTGTTTTCTTAAGAGCTTCTTATTTGCAAAAGCGTTAACGAAAGGAAAAGAAACAAAAAAGCTAATATTAATAAATAGTAGGAGAAAGATGCAATAGACACAATCAAACATATATAAAGTAAACTAATACTAATCAATTACTCTATTTTTTCAGCTCTATAACCCTCTCATGTATTAGGAGTAAGTGCTTATCAGGTAACTATTCATCATCAAGAATTCAAGATTCATCATCCTCACCTTGTCAGATAACATTCTCGACCATCAAAATGAAGTATTGGTAAGCGTCTTTGTCCAATAAACGTTTAGTGGGTAAGGGGCTGTTTGTTTGGCTCTTAATGGTTACATTAAGAGCCAACCTCTTAATCGGTAAGAGGTCAAGGCTGTTTGGCAAAAAAAAAAAAAAAGCTCTGAATGGTTACATTTTCCCTCTTAACCATTTTGCATCTAATGGGTCTCTAAACTATTCAGACTTCTCTTTTTCCATATTTGCCCTCTCTCCCAACATCACACATCGCTCACAGGTCACAGCCCCTCTCCCCACGTCGCCGGTCTTCAAATCCCAGCCCCTCCCCCCACGTCGCCGGTCTTCAAATCCCTCCCCCCACCCAACGTCGCCGGTCTTCAAATCGCTCCCCCAACCCTACGATCGTCGGTCTTCTTCTTCTAGCAGGTCTCACGTCGCCTTCTTCCAGCAGGTCTGTCATCGTCGCCGCTCGTCGCCGCCTCTTCCAGTAGGTCTCGTCGCCGCCTCTTCCAGCAAGTCGTCGCCGTCTCCGCCTTCTTCCAGTAGGTCTCACGTCGCATCCTCTCCTCTCATGTTTGTAACAATGTTAATTTCAGTTTCTTGAAGCTGCTTTACGAAATGGGAGATTTCGGTTTCTTGATCTTGCATAAATMTAGGGTTTGGTTTAGGGAATTTATCATTTTTCTTTGGAAATTGATGATGTTTATCGCTTATTTCATGTTTGTAACAATGTTAATGATGATTGGATTACCGACATTTTGCAATTTCTTGAGGATTTGATACTGATATGAAGAAACGTCATCTTTGGTAATTGTATGTTGGTTTATTCAGTACTAAATCATAACTAGAGTTAAAATGGTAATTTGCTGTCATTCAGAGAACAATTACCAAACAACCTTGTTTCATTCAGCACTTAACCATTCTGATCCTCTTAGCCATTCTAACCTCTTAACTATTCTGAACTAAATCATTCAGCAACTGCCAAACAGCCCCTAAGTCTTGATGCGAGCTTTGGCGTGGAAGACCAGGTGCCATTATTCTTGGAGGCCGATGACCAAACTAACAAGGATGTCCCGCTTAAACGACCATAACTTGGCTACGAGACTCCGTTTTAGGCCTATACACCGATTCAAAGCTTAGAACAAGACGCACGCCCTTTGTAGGACCCAAAGGGGCCTACATGATTTTTTAGGCCTGAAAAACACCATTTAAGCATGTTTCTAGACACTTTTATGTCTTTTGCTCTATTTACATTTTCTGATTGAGCTTTTATGTTTGGCCTATGGTCTTTTTCAAGCCTATTTCATTTGGGTCTTCTTATTTACATGTCTGCGTAATCTAGATGGTCATTCACTTGATACATAAACTTTCAATTTTCTTCAGAAATTTGAGTTCATCGTGAATTCGATTTGAAGCCTAAAGTTTGGTATTCATTGTATCAACGAACTTTAGACAAGATTATTCCCGGATATTCGTCAATCCATAATGTTTGAGCATTTCAACATCTATAGTTATAAAAAACCACATTTGTATCTTAGGAGCCGTTTACCAAACGTTTACTAGCAAGAGTCACCTCTCGACCATTAAAATGGATCAAGTCAACTGTAAGCGTTTATAACCCAGTAAGCATTTACCGGATAAGAGTTATCATCCTCACTTACCAGATAAAACTTTTGGTCCTTGTCTTCCCTCTTACTAGATAAGATTCTCGGTCCTTAGAAAATGTTTGTATAAAAATCACCCGTTGAAAAATGAACAATTCACAGAAAGTAAAGAAATGAGTGCGATTTGAAAAATCTACATACATAACATAATTATACTTGAAGACCATGGAATATAAGCTTCCACGAATCAACCAAAACCCACCAAAATAGACATCAAATTCATCGAAATGGTTTTTATTCTAATGGTGTTTAAAGAGGAAAAATAATAAACCAATGGCAATGGAGGAAGGAATACTTACCAAAACCAAGCTGTTATCACTTGTACTTTGTGCATTGCTAACTTGTACCCATTCAGCAGACACCATCTCTGCAAATCAAACCATTAGAAACGGTGAAACTATCGTTTCACCTCAACAAACCTTCGAACTCGGTTTCTTTAAACCCGGTAACTCAACAAACCGTTATTACGTCGGGATTTGGTACAAGAAAATATCCACCGGCACCGTCGTATGGGTGGCCAACCGGAATACGCCACTCACCACCACCTCTGGTGAGCTAACTCTCACTCCTCACGGACTTATGGTCCTCCGAACCGCCGCCGGCAATATCGTTTGGTCGTCGGCAAACTCATCAACGCCGGCGGCGAGAAACCTGGTTGCCCGGCTTCTGGATACGGGTAACTTGATCATCCATGACCAACATTCCGTCGATCAAGAAAATCCGATATGGCAAAGCTTCGACTTTCCGACCGACGGTTTACTTCCAGGGATGAAATTGGGCCAGGATTTGGTTACCGGGATTGAAAGACACTTCACCTCATGGAAATCCGCTGATGATCCGTCCGCCGGCGAGTTTTCTGCATGGCTTGATACAAGAGGGTACCCTCAGGTGATCTTAAAAGAAGGCCAGCAAATAAAATTCCGGGCAGGTCCATGGAACGGACTCCGGTTTAGTGGAGAACCCGATTTGAGACCGAACCCCATTTACAACTTCCACTTCGTTCTTAATTCGAAAGAAATCTATTACCAATATAATCTTATCGACACCTCAGTTGTTACAAGGGTAGTTCTACAGCCTAACGGTCGTATGGAGCGGTTATTATGGATCAATAGCAGACAAGAATGGATAGTTTATTTGACACCGGAGACCGATAACTGTGATCGATATGCAATGTGTCGGTCATTTGGGAGCTGTAATATCGACAACTCCCCGGCTTGTGACTGCTTAGAGGGGTTCGAACCCACGGCTCCAGAACAGTGGACCGTGGCAGATTGGTCACAAGGGTGTCGGTATAGGACCCCTTTGGATTGCGGGCCTGGTGAAGGGTTCAAGAAGTATACGAATCTGAAGTTGCCCGACACTCAATGGTCGAGGTTTAACTTGACCATGAACCATGAAGGATGCGAGAGGGTTTGCAAAAGCAATTGCTCGTGTACTGCATACACGAGCGTAAATATATCAGGGCCTGGTAGCGGTTGCTTGCTATGGTTCGGTGATTTAATCGATATCAGAACATTTGCTGAAAACGGGGACGATCTTTATATACGATTGCCACCTTCAGAATTAGGTAAATTACTATCCACCGTAACAAAATCGACTTTATATGACGTCAAATATGTCTAAATATCTTAATAGACTGATTTATAGGAGTTAAGTTTATAAGACCTCTTATCTATGTAAAGGTTTTACAATAAGATGACATCAGTCTTTTATGACATTATTTAAAAAAATGTCTTACAAAAACAATGTCCAATAAAAAGATGTGTTTAAGGATCCATTCTCAAAATTGTTCTATAAGAATACATTTTGTATCTAGACAAGATAGAACAAGACATGACAGAACTTGGTAAAATGAAACTGGAAAGAATAGAACAGATAAAATGACCAATTTACCCCTAATGAATTGGTTATGTATTTATATATTTTGATTAATTATGTAATTTATTAAATTATAACAAAATAAATATTTTATAGTAAAATATATCATTAGAAAGTTTTTGTTGAAACAATTAAAATGACACCAAAATAAGCTTACGTAGTTTCCAATTTTAATAATATACCTTTTATATATTATTTTTTATTATTAATATTTAATAAATTACATAAATTACTCAAAAGATAGAACACGTATAAAAATAATATTTCGGAAAGTGAAAGTTTAAAGAGTATAAAATACAATAAATAAAATTTAAAAAATGAATAAAATGTAAATAGGAAGGTGTATTTGATGTTCTAAAATAGAATTAAGTTTAGTTTTAAGATTATATTGGCAAAATATAGGTCTGTTCCACCTTGTTCCACACATAAAAGTCCTACCAAACATTGAACAACGATTCCTGTTATGTTTCGTGTGTACCAAAAGCATCCTAAAAGAGCTGATAGGACACTTTATTTTCGGTGATGACTTCATTGACGAGCATTACATTTTGTTATAGACTCTACAGAGAACAGTGAAAGCTCGAGCGGAGGAAGACGAGCACGGGTCATTGTCCCTGTAGCAACTGTCATTTTGGTCATACTAGTTTCCATATGCTTATTTTATCGGTCAAGAAGGAAGACACGAAAGCGAGAAGGTAGGAAGTTTATACCAAATATGTACGACCATAATATACGAGTATTACTAGTTCTGTCTAATAAAGGTGTGTATATAATCTCCGGTTGGCCAGGGTCACACGGAGACGAATTTGGGCATGATCGTGAAAACAATAGTGGCGAAGAAGACCTAGAACTGCCACTGTTTGGCTTGTCTACATTACTTAAAGCTACAAACAACTTTTCAATAAACAATATACTTGGAGAGGGCGGTTTTGGACCCGTTTACAAGGTATGACAGAAGTGAAAAGTTCATTTAGGAATCGTGAATATTTTGAGAACTGTAAAACCAACATGAATATCTATGACAAGATTCATCATGAATATCTATGACAAGATTCATCATGAATAATTAGTTCTCACGGTTCTCAAAATATTTATGATTCTCATTCGACAAAAAAAGATGAAATCTTTCAAGTTGTATACTTACTTAGAAGGTATGCTTCAGGGTGTGCTTGAAAACGGACAGGAAATAGCAGTGAAGCGGCTAGCGAAAACATCCACTCAAGGGCTTCACGAATTCAAGAATGAAGTCATTTCCATATCTAAACTGCAGCATCGGAATCTCGTCAAGCTCCTTGGCTGCTGCATCGAAGGAGCAGAAAAAATGTTGATCTATGAATACATGCCAAACAAAGGCCTAGATTCCTTTATATTTGGTAAATGAATCAATAGAAAAACTACAAAAGTGTCAGATCATCCAAGATATAAACTAAATGTCAAACCATCAACAGATAAAACTCGAAGCAAACTGCTTGATTGGCCAGTACGTTTCCATATCATCGATGGAATTGCTCGTGGACTTCTTTATCTCCACCGGGATTCTCGGCTCAGAATCATCCATAGAGATCTCAAAGTCAGCAATATATTGCTTGACTCGAACATGAACCCCAAGATATCGGACTTCGGCATGGCTAGAAGCTTTGGAAGAAATCAGATAGAGGCAAACACAAACAGAGTGGTTGGAACATAGTGAGATTCATCTACCCTAACCTCATTTTGATTCCTTCAAGGTGCGTTTGGTACGTGGGTGAAAAAATTGTGGAAGGTTTTTAGGGTTTTATTTTGACATGGGCAGTTTAGTAATTTCCTAATCTTGTCCCATTTTCCTGATTTTTGTTCCACGTACACTACAACAAAATTGATTTTACAGGACGCCTAAAATGTATAAACGTCCTAAAAAAACACTTTATAGGACCAAACCAAAAAGCGTGTTACACTAGGTTTATAGAACGTTGTAAGGTGTTCTAACAAGCTATTAGGACGCTTTCAAAATAAAATGTTCGTATTAACTATTTTATACGACATATTTGGAAAGAGTCCTATAAACACAAGTGGATTCCTATAAAAATAGATTTATAGGACACTTCTCAAAAATGTTATACAAAATAGCTAATAGGACACTTTATTTTAAAAGCATCCTAAATAACTTGTTAAAACGCCTAAAAGCGTACTATAAACCTATTGTAACGCTTTTAGACATGGCGTTTTATAGTTTGGTCCTCTAAACATATAAAAAGCTAATAAGACACTTTATTTTAAAAATGTCCTAAAAAATTTGTTAAAACGCCTAAAAGCGTAGTATAAACCTATTGCAATGCTTTTAGATAAGACGTTTCATAGTTTGGTCCTATAAACCTAAATTCTATAAAGTATTCTATTCAAACGCTTAGACAATGTAAGCATCCTATAAAGCCAATTTTGTTGTAGTGCTATTTTGGTACTTTTGTCCCACTCAGTCCCAACCTGTCTCGGTCTAATAGCGTGCCCTGTCTCCTGTGTACCAAACGCACCCTCGATGAATCACTTTCACTAACCAGAGATTTCCTGCAGTGGCTACATGGCGCCAGAGTATGCAGGACATGGTATCTTTTCAATAAAATCAGATGTATATAGCTTCGGTGTTTTAGTGCTGGAAATTGTGTGTGGCGAGAAAAACCGAGGGTTCTTCCACAAAGAACATAGCAACAATCTTATCGGACATGTAAGTTTGAGTTCAGTTATCCTGGAATTCATAAAACCAAACCAAACAAACTCAGTATATCCCACCTGGAGTTGGGGTCCGGGACAGTAAGGGGTTGTTTGGTTGGTTTTTCGTTAAATCCTATATGGATAAAGTTGTCTGTGTGAATTAATCTGTCTGTATAGATTGTGAACGCTTTTCATAGACAGAAGGAACGTGTTTCCTTAATTGGGAGGGACAACTTTAGAAAAAACTTGGTTTTCTGCATAAAGCTTCCCCCACAAGCTTATTGAAAAAGCCATTTTCTATATCATTAGCCACTACCAAACAGTCATATATAGTTGACTGAATAAGTTGGGAGTCCCATTAAGCAAACCCATAGATGTAAGCAGATTTGTCGTCTACCCCAAAGAGTAGTTATTTCCGTGTATCATATTGGTATTCATTAAACAACAAAATCTCATTCTTTGTTGTGTTCATTGTTCTTGGCAGGCATGGGGACTCCATAAAGAAGGCAGATCCCTGCAACTGGTTGCAAAGTGTCTAGTTGAATCAATCAATTTGTCTCAGGTTCTAAGATCAATCCATGTGGGTTTGTTGTGTGTTCAACGTCATCCAGAAGATAGACCAACTATGACTTCTGTGATTCTAATGTTGGGAAGTGAGGGTCCGTTGCCGTCACCTAAAGAGCCAGGTTTTTTCATTGGAAAAACCTCCGAAAACACCAGATATTCTTCGAGCACATTTGAAACAAGTTCTACCAATGAACTTAGTATCACAACTTTGAATGGTAGATAAATAGAAAGATAGATATATGCATTTAAACTTATGTGTAACTATGAAAATTCAAAATCATCTTTAGTTATGCTCAATTTCATATTTTCAAAAGTCAGAGTTCATTCTCCGACAACATGCAACAGGATCCAAGTCAGGTTATTTAGCTAAATGACCTCTGAGTCCCGACAAGGGTTTTTTAAATCTATGACCTTCTGACATGTTTCTAGGTATTCCAGGCATGAGCATACTTAGCTTTATTAACCATTCAAGTTCGTCAAATATTTACGGTTTAAGATGTCACGAAAGCAACAAAGAAAACAAATAATAAACAATAATAACTTAAGAATGGCCCAAAAATAATATTCTGGGTGGGTCCATGGAATGGCGTAGGTTCAGTGAAGAGTCTAATCTGAGACCTAACGGGTTTGATCTTGATCAGAGAGAAATCTATTACCAATACTTAGGTTGTTACTATGATAGTGACACGACCTAGTGGTAGCATGAAACACTTGTTATGGACAAGAGGCTGACCCAATAATTTCAAATCCAACATAAAACCATGGTGAAAGTTATTGGTAGCCCACAACTTGAGGCTTATAAGGAGATAGCAATTCCTATTTTCTATCCATGTGGGACGAGTTGTTATAATCACTCTTGCTATATGGCAGGAAATAGCAGTAAAGCGACTAGCAAAGACTTCAACTCAATGACTTTAAGATTTCAAGAACAAAAACATCTTTATACGAAAACTGCATCATCGAAATCTTATGTGAATTGGTAAACATATATGTGAGTTTTTATTATTGTTTCTTAATCTGTATAAAGATGAGGACCCCCCCCCCCTCTATCGGAACCAAAGATCATAATGTATCTAGACTTCTATATATGTTTGATTGTATGTAGATCAAATTGCCATTTTGTTTCTAGCTCAAGACCCAACTAAAAGGGAAGGCAATATCATACTTGAGAACGCATTTTATGGAAACAGATATTTTTTATCTGACCAAGTCCAAGTTAAAAGCTTGTAGCAGTAGCAGAACCACAATAAGTGGCAAACTGCCTTTGACTTACATGTAATATAAGGCAATACTATCAGAACTTTTGAATAACCCACAGAACATCAGTCAAACCATCTTTCATGATCCTACAACTACTGTAATTGTAAGTCAAGAAGTAAGAAATTTTCAAACTTTTCAAGGTGTAGTGTTTGGAAATGCACCTTTCGGCTACTTAACAAGATGCACTAGATGGGAAATGGTCACAAACTGAGAACAGTGAGCAAAATATAATGTTGCCAGCTTAACAGACACATGAGATATCCATAAGGTAGCGTTTGGTACACAGACTGGACCAGACTGAACAGGACAAGAGAACAGTAAGTGGACACAGACTGGACCGGACTGAACAGGACTAGAGTGGACAGGACTCAACAAGTTGTCTATATGGTGTTTGGCACTACTAGGACCAAACAAGACTGGGTTGGACAAGTTGCCACTGAATGTTGTTTGATGATTTTATATCGTGGTTACCGGTGGTAGTGGAAGAGGAGGTGGTGATTGTGGCAGACATGTCGGTGATGATGATAGTGGTAAAGGTAGAGGTGGCGGTAGCCGGTGGCCAACATTGGTTGTAGATGGCGGCAGCCGATGGTGGTGATATGGAGGTGGAAGTGGTGGTCATGGAGGAGGTAGAGGTGGTGCCGTGGTGGTGGCCGATGTGGTGGAGATAGGGGTGGTGATAAACAGTGATAGGTAGCCACTGGTGTGGAGGTGGCGGCCGGTGGTGGTGATGACAATGAGCGATGGTGGCCTGTGGTTGACGGTAGATGTGGTGGAGATGGTGGTTGTGGAGGACGTGGAGATGGTGGACAGTGATAGCGGTTGACAATGGTGGATGGAGATGACTCAGATGAGGTGGACTGGTGGAGGTGGTAGTTGTGGAGGTGGTCAGCGGTGGCCGTTGGTGATGGACATGGGACCATTAAACCAAATACCATATTATGGTTTATATCAAATGTGTGTAGATTGGTAATTTTTTTAGTTTTATCACATTTTTGTTCTACCTATTTTGGTCGAACAAAAATAACTTTTATTATCCCACCTAGCCTCAGTCCCATATCGTGCCAAACAAATTAAGTGAGTTTTTATCCTGTACCATATCACACCAAACATGGAATGTTGATTTTGTTCAGTCTGGTTTCATATACCAAAATCGTCCTAAATGATTTCTATTTTTCACAAGTCACAACTATGGTCCATTTCTCAAAAGTTGGAGAAACTAAGGATACAAGAAACCAAGAACAGCATGATTAAGCGGAAATATTTCAAGCTTGATCTTGATGATTAAGTTGAAATATTCACATAAACATATCAAGAACAATATTACCTTAATCTAAACAACCAGGGTTCTTTGAAAGAAGAAAAAGACTCTATCAATAAAGATATTTCCTTGGATATAGCTATCGATTTCTAAAAAATAGATTCATGTCAATTCTAGAATAGATTGGTGTCAACATTGTTTCACAAGACTTATCACGAACACCTTGTGGGCAACAGATTAAATGATCATAAACAAGAACCCTATACCAAGAAAACTACAATTAAATAATCATAAACGAGAACCAGAAACGAATTTCGATAATCCAAGATCAAGAACACATAAATAAAAGTACAAAATATGGACAAACCTGAGTCAAAAGGGTTATTTTCAACCATTGTCGGTGGGGTCATTATCAAAATATGGATCACCTTTCGAGAAGCATGTTCCAAAAAATAATCAAAATGATGCCCCTTTTTTCAAACGAATTCTAGAAAGTTGGAGAAATTGGGCGGACCCACATCCTGTTTAATCGGCGCCATTGTTGACCTGCAATCGCCCTCGTTTTTAGAGAGGTTGAGTTAAATGACTATCTCCATCATTCAAATTCTTCTCCAAACCATTTCTCCCATGGATTGGTAAAAATATGCAAAATTCAACACAAATATACAATGACGACCGTCAGATATGGAATCGCATGGACCGGATCTTGGGGATTGAACCGTTATGGACCTTATGGACCCGGTCTATAGATATTTCAATTTAGAATGGAACTCTTTGGCTGCGATTATGATTAATGTTGATTTTATGGTGTGTAAACAACTGTTTTGTAATAAATGGAATGGGCATATTTTAATCTGTTAGGGGCAGGTTTTGAAAAAATTTGACTTTCTACAATAAGTCCTTCTAGAAACTTACCGAATAAGTCACTTTCTAAATCATTAAACTACTATCAAACAGTCATGTATAGCTAACGGAATAAGATGTAAGTCTCATTAAACTCATTAAGCTGTTAACAAATATAATCATAATTTACAAAATTATACAGAAACCCAAAAATTGTGTTGAAAATATATAGAAATAAGTATGCAAAGGGGGCATTAGATCTATCTAGGTTGCAAATAAGTGACGGTTAAGCGATTGGATGAACTCCATTCAAGATAATTACTAGATGAAGACTCTCCTTCTTGTGGCCTCCGTCTATCGGTATAAAAACCAGGTTGTATCGGTTCGGGTAACGGGATTTCGCTACCGAGCATAAGAATCACCAACGGCATGTCTGGTCGGTCTTCCGGATATTTCTGGACACATAATAAACCTATATGAATCGCTCGCCTCACTTCCGACTCCACACACGTACCCTTCATCATGCCATCAATTAGCTCCAAATGTTTCCCGTTCTTGTACAGCCTCCACACCTGAATACCAACGGATACGATGTTAATTAATGCGTAAAAGATTGAGATAACGCGATTAGACTCACTTATAATAAAATCAGCTTTATAAGATGTTAAATATGTCTAAATATCTTAGGGGGGTGTTTAGGAGAATATAATAAAAAAAATTATTTCTCTCTCATTGTAATTATTTTTGGGAAGTTCTTTAAATTTGTAGAATTTCCCAAACTCTCTCATACTTTCTTCATTTTGGAAAGGGCAAATTGCATGAAAAAGTTACGTACTTTAACTTAATTCCTATTTATGATAACTTACTTTCAAAACTTCTATTTTGGTACCTAAAATGTAAAGTTTTAAACATTTAAGTACTCAGTTAACCGGTTGAAAATTAATTTTAGATTAAAAAAAGACTAATTTTAGATTAAAAAATTTATGTCACTAATCATGTCAGCAAATAAAACTGAGTTGGATATCAAATCACTCGCCACATCAACATGATAACTGGTTAATGCTTTAATCCGTTCCCGGGTACTTAAATGTTTAAAACTTTACATCTTATGTATCAAAATGAAAGTTATGAAAGTACATTACCCAAAATAGGAATCAAGTTAAAGTAAGTTACTTTTTCATGCAATTTGCCCTCTTGGAAAATCTGTTGGAGCAAAAAATTTGCCTAAAATCCCCAAAATCTTATTTTCTCCATTATGGAAAATCTCTTCAAAATGCTCTAAACCAGTCAATTAGAACGTTAAAACATATCTGACATCCTATAAAGCCGATTTACTACAACGACCCTAAAACTTACATGTCCAAGAAGATTGAGATCATGATCCGCATGACGAAATCCTCGGTTTTTCTTTCCACTTATGATCTCCAGCACCAACACGCCGAAGCCGAAGACGTCTGATTTCGTAGAGTATATTCCATCAATTGCATACTCGGGTGACATGTAACCACTGTAACACAAATCAAATGGACAAATGCAACATTAGCATTTGATTAGAAGCAATTAAGATTGGCTTAATGTGGACAGATATCTTACTATGTCCCCATTACTCTTTTAGTATTTGCTTTAGTGTCACTTCCTTCCAAACCTCTTGCTAAGCCAAAGTCTGAAATCCTAGGATTCATGTCTTTATCTAGTAAGATGTTACTAGCTTTTAGATCTCTATGAATGATTCGTAATCTGGAATCTTGATGCAGATACAGAAGTCCCCTCGCAATCCCGACGATAATATTGTAGCGCTTTGACCAATCCAATGACCGTCTTTTTTCTTGATCTGACACAATATATCAGATGTGTGAGAATATGTAAAATCTCATTAGATTATTCTCGAAAAAAAACCTTGAGAAGACAATGTAACAAAATTGGGGGTGTCCCAATCAACCACTTTATTGGATTTAAGTTTATATGACCAAGCAATAAAACGACCTTTTTTTATTAACCTGGATATCCAACCCGTTATGCGAGCCGACTAATCCCAGAACGACCACCTCTTTGCAGATAGCCCGGAGTCACCGCATTTAAATCTCTGTGGCCATAAGGGGATTTTTATTCCTCCTTGGATTTGAACCTGAGAGTCTGGGACCTCCAGGTACTTTTGACATTTGGAGCCAAGCTCAAAACACTTAGGCACCACCCTTGTAATAAGGTTATAAGACGCTTTTGGACGTCTTAACAAGTTTTTTAAGACACGTTTAATACAAAACATCGTATTAGTTATTTTATAAGAAACTTTTGAAAAATGTTCGATAAACACATCTTTTTATAGGACACTTATTTTTATAAGACACTTTTTCAAATAGTATCATGTAAATTAGCTAATACGACGTTTTTTTTTAATAAAAATGCCCAACAAAATTGTTACATCGCCAACAAAACATCATATAAACTTGTTACAATACCTTTTGATAAAACACTTTTTTGTTTCATATAAATTAAGTGTTATAAAGCAGTTTATTAGAATGTTTCGACATTTTTAGCATCCTAAAAACCCAATTTTGTTGTAGTGAGAGAATGGAGGTTCAAACATATACAAAGAGAAAAATGGTCCAAATCTAGCTGATGTAAGAATCTGAAGCAAAATGAAAAGCATATATAGTGACGAGATCGGAAGAGAAACATAACCCACCGAAAATGAAAGAATTCAAGCTTTTATTCGGCATGTATTCGTAGATCAACATCCTTTCTCCTTCCTCGATGCAGCATCCGAGAAGCTTCACGAGATTTCGGTGTTGAAGTTTAGCGATACACTGAACCTCGTTTTGGAACTCGTCTAGTCCTTGGTTTGATTTTACCGAGTGCCTCTTCACCGCGATTTCTTTACCTTCCTCCAACTTTCCCTATAAATCATGGAAATTATTTTCTCAGATGGTATATCATGAACATGAGAATAAGTAGAACCCCCTCAGATTCCTCTTCAAAAAAAAACCTTTATGAACAGAGGTTCCAACATATATTGAACAGAAATGGTCAAATTCTAGCTAATGTAGAATTGAAAAGAAAAAGCCGTTTGTTAGCGGCTTAATGAGCTTAATGGGATCACAACCTATTCAGTCAACTATATATTTTTGTTTGGCAGTGACTCAATAAGTTTCTAGGGAAAGCTTTATGCAAAAAATCATGTTTACCTTGTAGACAGGCCCATAGCCACCTTCTCCGAGCTTAAAGTCGTCTGAAAAGTTGTTTGTTGCATCGGCTATCGTGTTGAAGTTGAACAACGGCAATTCCCAATCTTTCGTCTCGTTCTCATTGGTAAAGTTGCGTTCACGAACGACACTAGTTACGCCTGTAGAAACAAGATTATAGTTTTTGCAAGTATGGACTAGAAATCCAAAAGTTAAGGTCTTATGGATATGGCATACTACAACAAAATTGGCTTTATACGATGTCAAATATGTCTAAATATTCAAATAAATTGATTCATATGACTTAAGTTTATAGGACCAAATAATGGTGCATCCAGGTGTCGGAAGTACCTTTCTTCTTCTGCTTCCTCCACCTGAAAACAAACAAGCATATAACCAAAAGCACGGCCACCGTCACCAGTACCGGAATGACGATAATTCTCACTCGTCTCTTTGCTTTAGCATCCTGATCTGTTGCATAGATTAAAACTCGACATTAGAGTCAACGAAATCTGGAAACATATATAGAGGAGAAATAGTTTAAGTCTACCCGTTATAGCACTTTGTTTGTTAGCAGCTTAATGAGCTTAATGAGACCCACGGCTTATTCCATCAGCTATACATGACTACTGTTTGGTAGTGCTTGATGATATAGAAAGTAACATATTCAGTGAGCTTTTAGGGGAGCTTTATGCTTCAAGCCAAGTTTTTTTGCAAACCTACCCAACTAACTATAAAACACGCTCATTTCATCTAAGAAAAAACTCTCCCAAACAAAGACCTTCCCGATCTGTACTAACGGATTAATCTGCAGTTCTGCACAGACAGCTTTATCCATGCACAACTTAATGGAAAACCTACCAAACAGTCTCTAACACGACCACTCCAACGAAGGTTAGACAGGCAGAGATTGTGCCAGTGTACAGTGTACAATCTCTAAAGTGGAAGACCAGATCCATGTTAGAATATGTGAAACCCCATTACACTCCAAAAAAGCCTAATGGAATGTTCCAACATATACAGAGGAGAAATGGTCCAAATCTAACCGATGTGAGACTCTAAAAGAAATGAACGTATACGAAATAGGATCAAGTCTAGATCGATCTTACCTAATTCCGAAGCAGCCATTCTTAAGTAGATATCTTGACCGTCTACGGAATACGCTCGGATATCGACCAGATCATCGAACCAAAGCAAACATCCGCTTCCTCCTGATCTAACATCTAGATTTGCATAAGCTGTACAGTTGCAGTTCTTCAAGCATTCGGCTCTACATTCGTCAAGATTCATCGTTCTATTAAACCTAGTTTTCCTCGTATCCGGCAACTTCACACCCGATTGTTTCACGAACCCGTCTCCACCACCTTCGCAGTTCAACTCGGCTTTTCTAACACACCCATTAGACCAATATGTTGTTCTCCATTCATCTGTGAATCGTGGCTCGAATCCGCGCAAACACTCACAAGCTCGGGATTCCGCAATGTTACAGATACCATATGCACCGCATAATCCATAACGGTCGCAATTATCCATCTGTGCGGTCAGGTAAAGATTCCATTCTAGCTTTTGTTCGATCCATATGAGCCGCTGTATACTTCCCTCTGGACTTAGAATCATTCTCGACACAATCGAACTATTAGCAAGCTCGTAAGTGTAGTAAAGTTCATCGTCATCATACACGAACCTAAACGTATAAATGTCGTTTGTTTGCAAATTCGGCATACCACTAAACCGTAAACCATTCCATGGCCCGGAACTGTACTGCAAAACCGAACCTTTTCTAAGAAGAATTTGTGGGTATCCATCGGAATCAAATCCATTCGTAAACTCACTTGGAGACGGATCATCGACGCTCTTCCATGCCGTTAGATATTTTTCTAGACCTTTTCTAAAATCTATCCCGAATTTCATATTTGGTAGGAAAGTATCACCCGGATAATCGAAACTTTGCCAGAAGTAGTTCTCGGGATCAATGTCGTTTTCGTTTCTGATCACTAGATTTCCGGTATCCAGAAGCTGTGCTACAACTCGATTGTTTCTAGTTCTAGATACCGACGAGTTCGATGACCAAATCATGCTATTCGAACGATTAACGATCATCAGAACTCCTTGGTCATCGAGTAGAAACACGCCAGAAGTATCGGAAATCGGAGTTTCTCGATTCGCAACCCACACGACCGTTCTGATCTGTATCTTGTTGTACCAAATTCCCAGATACCGATTGGTCGAATCGTTGGTCGGACTGAAGAATCCGAGAACGAAGTTTTGGTCATCGGAAACAATGGTGTGGCCGCCGGCGTCGGTGATGTTGCCGGTTGCAGAAATGGTGCTTATTGCTGCTGAGGTTAAGAAGAAAGTAGAAATGGTGGAAAGAAACAAGAAGGAAAAGCCTTTCATAATTATGCTTTGATTATGGAATTCTCACAAATATGGGATTTTGTAGTTTAATTACTTGACTTTTTAGAATTCATTTTGACATAAATAGTCCCTAGACTTTAAGTTTTTTTCATTTTGTGGACAACATAAATAAATATTTGAGTAAATTGCAATTTTAGTCCATGTAATTTGTTGAAAAATTGCAAATTTTGTCCCCATGGTCTAGAAATTACAATTTTTGTTCCTATGGTTTGTAGTTCATTATTATTTTCCTTTTTTTTATAATTTACAACTTATTATTAAAAATGGTGATTTGTCCCGATCCGGTGGGGAACCCGGCCAGAACGGGGATGGGGATTCCCCACTAAAACGGGTCCCGAGGCTGGGGCTAGGGATCTCCGGTAGACTCAAACCGGGATCGAGGTCGGGGGCTGTTACTCAAACCAAGGTCGGGGCAGGGATCTCCGATAGACTCAAACTAACGGATATTCTTTATTGGGTTTGACCAGGGACGGGATGTTAATCCCCGTACCCGTCAGGGACCGAGGCCAAGGGCTGTTACCAAAAACTGAGGCCGGGGATTACAAAACCTGCCCCGTTTTCATGCCTACTTATTGTTGTTTAGGTCCTTGTGGTTGCATTATTTACTTTTTTGGTTCATTGTACTTAAAGGTAGAAATTTGTTCAGAGCCGAAAATCACAGTAAAGTGCAAACCGAAAATCCCAATAACAAACCATAGGGACAAAAATCACAATAAATTTTAAACCATCGAAATTATTAACAAAACCAACAGGACAAAAATTGACCAAATTGCACTTTTTCTCTCCATGGTTCATTAACAATTTATATTTTCGTTCTTGTGGTTTAGAATTTGCGATTTTCATTCTTATGGTTTGCAGTTTATTGTTATCTTTGTTCCTAAACTAATTCAACATGTAAGTACAAGAGACCAAAACAGTAAAAACTATAAACTACAAAGACCAAAACAGTAAAAAAAATCGTAAACCGCAGAGACCAAAACAACAATAAATTGTAGATTATAAAGACAGAAATAATAAATTACAAACCATCTGAATAAAACCCGTAATTTATAAACCACATGAAGAGAAACTGCAATTTTAACAAACCACATGGACCAAAAATGTAATTCACTCTAAATATTTTCATTGCCAAAGTATGAACATGAGAAAAAGTATTTGAGGATTGTGGTCTCTTTTATGCTTTGACATTGAATCATTCAAATCAATTTGAACCACCACAGAGAGCTTATCTCATTAATGCTTGACTTTGACTTTGATTTTTTTTCAAAATTACCATGACATCAGCGCTCGTCATCTATTTTCATTGTTTAACTTCTTATAAAACTTTACTGTTCCAGATATTGGTATAAAAGATCGTTCTATCAGTATTGCATTTTAAAGGTAAAAAACGTGTTCTTAGTAGTCGTTACTGTCTCTATTGTTTTTTTAATTACATATATCTATTATAAGATTTAAACCCACAACAATTTTGGACTTTTGATATGATAGTTGGATTTATTTTCGTTACCAGCGAAAAATGACCCTTATCTGACATTGTGTCATATTTTTTGCCACATCTAGAGGTAGACCCTTAAGGGTTTGTTTCATTTGCATGATTGTTTTTTGAGGGATTTGGGTTTAAATGAATTTGAAATCATTTGTGTGTTTGGTCTGTAGGATTTGGAATGAAATTGGATTTCATTATTTATAAATAATTTATAGAAAATATTGTAAATAAATATAAAAATAATTATATTACATTTTTATTAATTGATTATTACAAAACAAATATTTTTTAAAAAAAATTTAAGACCATATTGCATACAATCCTAGGAAATTCCATGAAATTTCGAGCATTCCGTAAGGATTTCAAAATCCTATGTTTGAAAGATTTCAGTTAAATCATAAGATTTCAAATCCGGACAATCCAACAAACCAAACATGAGATTAAAATGGATTTGAAAGGCAAATCCCCCAAATCCATTACATTCCTTCAAACCAAATGGGACCATAGACTTTTCTAGTCCATTTAAAAAAAAATCACGTTGTGACTTGAATGCATATGAAACAAACATATTGTGAAACAAATATATGTCCATCAATATATTAAATACTAACCTTATATGAGAAAAAATGAAATTGACCAAAATAGACAATCTCTCCAACCATATTCTCTTTTTAGCACCCAAGGGCCTTTGGCCTAGTGGTATTGTAGTCTTTGGCCTCCTAGGAGATCAAGGGTTCAAACCTCACCAAATGTGAGGAGGGTGTGTGAGTTTATTTGTTGCATTTGCAGTATATAAATATTATATACTTCAAAAAAAAATTCACTTTTTAGCTGTTTTATCGATCGAATTCTCATTTTAGCTAGAGTTTACGCAAATTGACATTCAAATTATTATTATTTTTCCTTCTTTTAGAATCTGAAATCGGTTTACATGAATGCGTAAAGCATTTGCATAAACTTTGGTTAAAAAGGGGAATTCAATTCCAAAAGTGACTGAAAAGTGAATTTGATTGGGGAGACCAATTATTTTGGTTAATTTTCCGGGAAAATCATGTAAACCAATATTTTGATATAAAAAGTTCTTACAATTATCATTAGTGATGGCCAAAATCCAATCTCGGCCCGGGTTGGAACAGTGATGCTCATAACCGGTCCCGGTCACGCTCATCAAACCTGAGCCCGTTTAACTTGATCCATAACTGGTTATGGATAACAGGTCCCGGTCCCTACCCAAAAAAAATTTACTTCTTTAAATTTTTTTAATGATAGATTTTTTTAATACATTACTAAATTTGTAATTGTGTCACTCAAATACACTTTAAAAATACGTTTTATTATAATTAAAATTACATGCAATTATTTGAAAATTACTTATTCATCATTGGTATCCCATGTCGGATTGATTTGAAGACTTCCCGTCTCTTGAATTTTTCTAATAACCTCTTTGTCATCAAGGTCATCAATCTCGAGTTCCTCATCATCGTCATATTATGAGTAAGTACCAAAAATTGTATTTTTTTTACGTTCTGTAAGTTGGTATCTTACACCATACTCCATGACACTTATATATATTATATAGAAGGCCAAAAAGACAAAAAAAAAAAAAAAAAAGGGTCAAAATCGCAAAAAACAGTCATATAAATGTTCCCAACAGTCGAAAAAACGACTATTTTCTTGAACTCACCGGGCCGGGCCCATAACCGGTCCCGATCCCAGTCGGTAGTTCCTCAACCGGTCCTGAGCCGGGCCAGTTTACGCATCACCGGTTATTATAATATATAGAGCTCTCAAATAATTAAATCATATTTATAAAAAATGAAACAAAAAACAAGATTATTCGAGACCCTTCACTCTTTGACAATTGAGGTTTTGGTTGAAATTTATTGCTGCCTTGAAAAAGAGGGTAACTTCAATTTATATTTATATGGAAATTCATATTTTATATTAAATTAAAAAGTGTATAATTAAATTAAATGTCACGTATGGTATATTAAATCATTTATTTTTCTTAAAATTATTTTATTTTTTAAAAAAATATTAAATATTTATTTTAATAAGAAGACTTTCTTTTAAAAAATATTAACGGGCGGACATGAGCAATGTACTTGCCCAGCCTGTTTATATTTTATAGTTAATATTTTTTTTACCATTGATTAAAATTATATTAGATATTTTAAAAATTAAATTATTAAAGTTAAGGATAAGACTCTTTGGTTATTTTTGAGAACCTAAAAAGATAAAGGATTGTTTGTTTACTTCTTCACGTGAATATTAATGTTATACATAAAAAATAGTAATGCATTATTGATTTTATGAAAGTCTGAATTTCGTTTTTCATTTCTTTCTCCACTTGTTGAGATCCATGTGTCACTTTAGTTTCTTAAAATTTTAATTGCAACGGTGTTTTTCTTTATTTTTTGGTTTCACATTTGTTAATTAATTGTCAGTGATCAAGTTTATAAATTTATAAAAGTTACACTTTTTAGACATGTTGGTCCGTGGGCAAGCCCGACCCGTTTATAGGATAAACAATGGAAAGTTGTGAAGCCCGAAAAGAAGGGTTTGAATTTACAATATTAGACTCGTTGGATAAACAAAACAAGTTAGGCCCAACGCGGGCCTAGCTTAGACTCGCAATTGCAAATGATCACCTTTATCATTAACGTATATTTATCTTAAAATGTGTTTATTTTACATTTTATCAGTTCACAACATGAACCTTTGTGGTGTATTTGTAAAACAAAAAATAAATGTAAAAATGTTTCATATTATAAATCGAATATATATGAAACAAACACATTGTAAAACAAATATAGGTTAATCAATACTATTAAATACCATATGAAATAAAACTTTTCATAGATCTCGTAAGTTTTATAGTGCTCAAATAATTAAATTAATATTTAATAATAATTAAATATTTAAATATTAAATCATTTATAAAATTAAAGAAAAAAACAAAAGAAATGATGATGGGTCATCCGGAACCGACGCCCCGATTTGATTTGCTTTGAAAATATATCCATTCTGAGTCAACGCGTTTTGCAACTCTTTTTTTCCTTCTCAAAGTGTTACATCAAATGATCAAATGTTATTGGGTGTATCTCATCATTAGCTTTCATTTTCGCTAACGAGTTGTACTAAAATTTCAAGTCACAGTCATTATTATTTGTTTACTTCTTAATAGTTTTATTAATAGACAGTCTGTCAATTGTTAAAAGGTAAATCTTATTTGGCAAAAAAATGTCTTTTAATGGTTCTAAAACCTTCTGAATGATTTTGTATATTGAGTCATCCGTAACCATTCAACGCTTTAATTTTATGTTGAACAAATCCAAACAATTAAATTTCATTTTGCACTACATCATAAAAATCTCTTAATCATTATGATCACTTAATCATTCATCACTAAACCATTCAACAACTGTCAAACAGTTTTTAAGACTTTTTATCACAATAAACAATTCCTAGCATATCATTAGTTTACTTTATTTGATTTATTTATTTATTCAGTATCGTGCGTCAACAGTGATTAATAGACATAAAATGGACGACTACTCGACCAGTTTAAAAACAAATGAACCGTATTCTGCTAAGTATTTAGGTTCATCGAAAACCCATTTACACGAAGATGCAAACAAACTATTTAAGTTCCACCCAGATCAATTCACAAAGAAAGATGATGAAATTTTCATAAGAAGAATTTCGGGTTCAAATCAGGGACCGATAGTGTGAGCTAGTGGGGGCTCTTTCGGCTAGCCTAAAGGCTAGTATCAACCTTTGTTAAACAAATCACTGATTTTAGGCCTTTAATAGTTTCATTAAGAGGCAACATCTGAATCGTTAAGAATGAATCTTATTTGGCAAAAAAAATTATCTCTTAATGGTTCTAAAATCCTCTGAATGATTTTACATCTTGAACCTCCCATAACCATTCAACACCATAATTTTATCATAAACAATTATATTTCATTTTGCACTATAATCATGAGGTCTCTTAATTATTCTGCACCAAACCATTCAACAACTTCGTTTACCAAATTTTATTCAACTGATTGCTTTACATACGGAATAAAATCAAATTTTATAGATCGCACCTTTCACAATTTTCACCACAGGAACTAAATTCATTCCTACCCATTTTTTTTCCAAAAAAGCTACTATCAAAAATTAGCCTAACCCATCATACACGTGACCGAACACCTGCCAACCGCTCCCCCTACTGCCACCGCCGGCGGCTGACGTCACTGATACCACCAGCATCACCTCCTACCAACGAAACAGATGAGCAATGAATTACATTCCAATTCCTCTTATGGTTCTAATTCTGCCAGATTCCAGTCTTGTGAACCTAAGGCCTCACACAATAACAAAATAAAAGAACACGAAAACAACTAAATCACATGTGATTTTACACTAACAGTCAAAAGCAAGGGTGTGCAAGCAACGTGGCCCACGACCTGCGTGAATCATCACAT